TGCCAGCTTCTGTCTAGTAAAGTACCACCTCCACAATATTTATAGAACAGAAGATACGCTCTTATGAAATATGAACTTTTCTAATAAAAACTGGTCCTGAAATACCCTTTGGAAAAATTAAAAAATCGTACACACAGGAGAGCAACATGTCCCTCGCAACTTCTTTCGTATTGTAGAATAAATATTTAACACGTCTCTCTGATCAATTGAGGTTGGTGTTGAATTTTGTATGCGACTGTAGTCTAGGGCTAGGCTGATCCTATCAAACTTTTTAACCTTAGCTCAGTTCATCCTGATTTCTCCCAACCACGGCACCCCTTACCGGGTCCACGTTTGCCATCAATTTTATTAGTTGTAAAAGAATATGTCTATCATGTTTTAGTATGCCAGCAGCTTTTCACTCTTGATAAGTTTTTATTCCAGATCGCATCGTTTACGAATAATTTGATTTATATATTTTTACTTTTTCTATAAAGAATTCAGTTGAATCTACTTTGAAAGAATGTTGCACTTAGCAATTTTGGTGTCTTAAAATTGTGAAGAACGTCATAAAAGGTAACACAGGGTTCTGTCAATCACAAGTACTGAATACCTAAACGTTAGCCTCCACCTTGTATAGACTTGTATGTGTGATAGATGTCAAGTAAGGTAAACATTAACGTTTAGGTATGTAGTATTTATGATACTAAGACTATTGTTACATTATCCCAATCTTATTCGTAAATTAATTCATGTCTTTCTTTATGGGTGACTTAGACACATCTTGCTTCTCGGATAGGGTTTTCCACGAACAATTTGTATTACTTTTCTGCTCTAGAGGTACATCCACAAATTCTTAAATCACTTTGTATTCTAGACATGCTGTATAATATCTTCATTTGCCTACTACATCAACATTTTTTGCATACCTCAGTCTGCTCAAAAAAACTTCGCTCAGATTTGTTCCTATAGTCACTGATCCAACAATGAAGATATGTTCACAAGTTAGTTTTACAATTATCATTAAAGATAGAATCTTAGGTATTGGAGCATGTGTCTAGCGTATAAGTGATTACTAGCGGTATGTTCTTTTACTTGTTATTTAAATGATGAGTAACTTGATTGATTAGCTAGAAACTGAAGACATTCATGTAATGGTATTCTGAAGATATCCATTTGCTATGTGATGACCCGTCTCACATGATGATAGTCGTCAACAAAAATGTCAATAACTGCTTCGCATGTGATTAGCAACAGCATGATTTATCTTTGAGATTATCTGTCGCCTATCGAATTCAACTTGATCGAAAGCTTTTCCAATGGTGTTCATCTAACTAAAATCAGATATGCACTCTGTTCATTAATAATGACGATGTTCGCAGCTATGCGGTGACGCTTCACGTGTACTGATGATTACGCTTACAAGGAAACCCACGTAGAACCGCAGGGATCGTACTCGTATATCCAAAGAGGACTACTACGAAAATTTGGGTTTGTAGTGCAACTGCTGGGGGGATACTCCGGCACGAGTAACGTGACATTTTGTCATTTTTTATGACATTCTGTAGGTTTTTCTGACATAAAACATAGGTTTTTCAACAAGATGTCACCTTAGCACTAGCTGTTGTACACTTGTTGTGAACTCGTTTTGTAGCTGTTGCCTTAACGTCATGACGCTTCAGCTATCGATGTTTGGTTCTGATGTGATGTGTCATCTGGTTCAGATATGGCATTATTGAAGGTCTTAGCTGTAAGTTGTATACTGTAGCTGGAAGGGAACGGTAGTGCACATGTGCATAGTAAAGATTTTTGCGCTAATAATCTGTATTGATGATAATTCCATTGGTTTATTTACTCAAATGCACTTACCTGAGATGTATTTAAATCTAGAAATTAACTTCGCATCCTCTTTTTCTTATATATTCTGTAAATTCGATATGCAAATTTGCTGAATTTCAAAAATGGGAGAGATGAGAAAAGAAAAGAACTCAGCATCAAATTGAAGGTCAATTTGGTAATATTGGCTTCCTTCTTCGTCCATACTGGTTTTTCGATCAGCCAATCTCAATTGGCCATGACGTGGCGTATCCTTACTAGTTCTCCCGATTTACCCATGGTCGACTGATACTAACTTTCGGTGAAAGCAGTGCGTTAAGGTAGTAAAAAGCATATTTTCACATATTTGACGCCTAAAGTTTTCATCATCTTTTCTGATCCACCTTGTACTATTTGTGTTTTATACCTGAGCCACAACGCAGGGTGGTAACTCTACGTTCGGCAGTCAGAATTGTCTACCACCTACGGGCAACCACCACGTCCACAGCCAAGAGAAAAGTTCTCTTGGGACGGGATTCGGATCAGCGCAGCTTCCGGCGAATGGTTGGCAGACACATAGCTTCTACCACTACGCCACCACGCTGCCTGTTGCTAAAACCTGGAATAAGAACCATTAAACCAGGTCGCCTACTATGATAAAACCCTTAAAGATCACACGGGAAAGGCAAAAATTTCGCAAAATTTGAGATATCTCGTAAACGGTTACAGCTGGCTCTAGGATTGTATACATGGAATGTATTTAGAATCTCGGATAGAATCCGAAAATAAAATAATGTATTATTTAAAATAGGCCAGTTCGTGCCTACCCAGGATACAACTAGAATTGCCCCGGTTAGTTACGCTATGAATCCAAATTCTCATAACTTTTTCTGAAATAAATACATGCTTCTTTAAGCTCCTCGTAGGGTCCGCGGTGCCCTGGCATTTAGGATTCTGCCTGAGCGCCTGCTTCGGTGTAAAAAAGCGCTGGTTATTTTGACAGAGATGCCGATAATGCTGGTCATGATGTAGACAGTCACCACCAAAAACATCGGTAACCGAATTTCATGTTTAATTTCATCTGATATGTAATAAAAATGAGTACCGGCACTACATTAGCAACTACACATCTTTCGTATTCACGTAACTAAAACAGACTCAATGCCTACAATTATTAGTAGCTGGTCGAAATAGAGTGTTGATGATTACGCTGATAGACATGCAAGATGAGTTGGGCAAATGAAGCTAAAGTGGAAAAATTTCGCTTTAGAATGACAAATTCAATAGGAATATTAGTGCATTTTATGTTGTGATCATCGATACATCTCCTTCAAGTGATAAGTGGTACATAACCTTCAATTTGGAAGAAATTGGATGACGGAGACCATAGATAATGACATTTGCATCTACGGGATGACCACGCTTCACGTGTTACTTATTTTACTATCATCGCATTAATCAACAAAACTGTAACTGCATTTAATGTAATTCTCATCGAGATAATCTATCTTTGAACATATCTGTAGCCCATCGCTTTCAATCTGAATGAAGGCTTACTCAATACTGGTTCATCAGATAAAAAATTGATACTGTATGTCGTTAATAATGACTGCACTTGTAACTTCTTTGCAGCATATCGCTTTTCTTAATGTTCACATTAAGACGGAATTCACTCCTGAAGCTGGTAGTTGCTCAAAGCTAAGTGCTGATGATTAGGCTGATACGGATACCGGTTAAGCTTATCCAATAAAAGACGCCAAACATGGGATAAATGTGCTTGTGGCGGCTTTTATAAATTTTTTGATTGGGTGCGACGACTTCCACCATCTTATCTGGCAAGTACAGTTAAAAAAAGTGGTATTATGGAAAAACCTTCAATAGGGTGATCCATACTGGGCCATATTGAGCCAAACACGCCTTAGTAAGTCAATGGTGAAGATTAATTTTCAAAATTGTTTTCCTCTATTATTCAACCTGCATAATAATGAGTGTTGACTTTAATAACTTTTTTTTTATTAAATAGCCCTATTTGAGATACTCGCGTTTCAATATCCTACTACGCAGTCAAATGACCGACTCCAATGCACAATACATAGTTCAATACTACGCTTCAAGTGCTATCAAATTTTCATCACTACTCGTACGTTCATTTCTTGTCCACAACATGTTCCCCTGTTAACCAACTGTTCCAGAGCCAACCATTCCAGTCTGTAATAGAATATTGAAATGCTGATATTTCAAAAAGGGTACATTTAGTAGAAGCAAATATACGCAAGGTCCAATTTTGGCACCCTCTCTCCAACATATCGGCCGGTATCTCACGAACAAATGCTTCAATATTGGCTTACCGTGCGTCAATCGTTGCTGGTTTATCCCTGTAGACATTAGCCTTAAAATGACCCCACAAGAAATAGTCCAACGGCGTTAAATCACACGATCTGGGCGGCCAATTGACGGGCCCCAAACGTGAGATAAACTGTTCACCGAACTCGCCTCTCAATAGGGCCATCGTTTCGTGTGCGGTGTGGCATGTGGCACCATTATGTTGAAACCACATGTCAGCCAAGTCCAGCTGTTCCATTTTGGGCAAAAAAAGTTTGTTATCATCGCACGGTAGCGCTCGCCATTCACAGTTACGTTCCGGCCATTGTCGTCTTTGAAGAAGTACGGCCCGATGATGCCACCGGCCCATAATCCACACCAAACAGTGATTTGTTCGGGATGCATTGGTAGCTGTTGCAATGCTGGTCAACCAGAAATGAACTTCGTCGCTGAACACAATTTTTCGATAAAAATGTGGATCTTCCTCCAACTTTGCCAGCACCCATTCACCAAATTGGAAACGTTGTGGGAGGTCGTGTGGCGTCAATTCTTGCACCAGCTGAATCTTGTTTTTACGCCCAAATCCTGTCGCAAAATTTTCCACGTAGTGGAGTAACAGAGGCCCAATTGCTGCGAACGGCGGCGAATCGACATTTCACGGTCATCACTAACACTGGCGGATACAGCCGCAATATTTTCTTCAGTCCTCACTCTACGTCTGCGTGTTGGTGGTTTAATGTCCAATAATGTAAACTGGGTTCGAAATTTAGTCACAAGCTTCCGAATAGCTCCCTCAGTAGGCCGACCAAATTGCCCCTGACAAGAGAGCTCATTTGCTGTATAGTTTGTCTGAGGAGGCGTATATTTTATTAGAAAATTTATGTATGCCGCAAAAGCCGGAAGAAACCCCATACGAAGACATAGTTCAGTTATTGTCTAACTACCATGGTAAAACTGCTGTTGTATGGGTCGAAAGGCAGAAGTTTTATAGTGCATCCAAATCAGGAAATGAGACGGCACTAGAATGGAGTGTACGACTTAAAGGTTTAGCTCGCTATTGCAATTTTGGTCAGCAGCTTGAGTCCAATCTAACGGACATTTTTGTTACGCAGTTCAATCCTGGGAAGCTGAGAACTGAATTATTCAGCCTAAACGAGAACACCACCTTAAATAACGCTGTTGAAAAGGCCAAAATTATCGAAGCAACGCTAGTAATAAGAGACCCAGTTGGTGAAGTTAAAAGCGAGGTCTTAGAATCCGATGTTTTTCGAATTACACAAAATAATTCAAATGTTGGTGCCACTCCCGATCAACATCAAGATCCTCAACGGTATCATAGAGGGACAGCAGTACCTGCAGCGCAGCGGAGCCAAGGAGGCACGCGCAGGAGTGGGGGCAACAGCTCAAACATGGCGCTGCCGCAGCTACAGCCGTTCACATCGTCTGGTCGCTCTCCGGGCTGTTTCCGCTGCGGGAGGAACCACAACATGCCCCTATAAGGAATATATTTGTAACTCTTGTCACGGTAGGGGTCATCTCAGTGTGGTGTGTAAAAAGAAAAAACAATCCTCACCTAAGCACGTTAATTATGTTTTTCCTAATAATGATATTGCTGAGGATTATACAGACGTTTTTTCATCCCCAGTTCTAAGTATTTCTAGCTTAGGAAGCAACAATGATGTGCCACTATATATCGATATTTTAGTTGAGAATGTCATGTTGAAATTTGAACTTGACAGTGGATCAGCTATTAGTGTTTTGCCACTTCATGTTTACAAAACATATTTTGGTGCTCACGTCATGAAAAGAACAAATGTTTCCTTGATTAATTTTTCTGGCAATAAGATCATCCCACATGGCACAATCAACTTAAATGTTAAGTTTAATTTCAAAGATAGCATCCTACGCTTTTTTGTTGTTGATGGTAACAATCCATTGCTCCTAGGTCGAGATTTTATTAGGAATTATAATATGGGATTTAGAGAAATTCATTATTTGAACAACGATGCTGTTGATGCTCCATGTAATGAGTTTCCTGGCGTTTTTGCAACCAATTTGGGAAGGTTCAACAAGTGTAAGATCTCCATAAATATTAAACTTGATGCAAATCCCATTTTCCATAAACCTAGACCGTTACCATTTGCAATTAAAGGTAAAGTGGAGGAGGAATTAGATAAATTAGTCTCCAATGGTATAATATCTCCAGTGGAGTTTTCAGAATGGGGTACCCCAATAGTACCAATTTTGAAGGAAGATGGAGGAATAAGAATTTGTTGTGATTATAAGGTAACTATTAATTCAGCTATTCTAGTGGACAAATTTCCCTTGCCTAGAATTGACGACTTATTCACAAAACTGAAAAATGGAAAGCAATTTTCCAAAATTGATCTCTCATCGGCTTACAATCAAATAGAGCTCGAGGACTCTTCAAAAAAATGTACGACTATTTCGACTCACAAAGGTTTATTCGAATTCAATAGATTGCCGTTTGGAATAAACTGCGCTCCATCACAATTTCAAAGAATTATGGAGCAGCTGTTCAATAAAATGCCCCGTGTATGTGTTTTTCTTGATGATATTTTAGTTACAGGTATCGATAAAGAAGATCATATTAGAAATTTGAAAAGGGTTTTACTTTGTCTTTCCGAATGTGGTCTCACTGTTAGAAAAGAAAAGTGTGTGTTTTTGGCTGATTCCATTTCATATTTAGGGTTTGTTATAGACGAGACAGGCCTACATAAAAGTTTAGAAAGAGTTAAGGCAATACGCGACATTTCTCCACCAGAAAATGTCATTCAACTTAAGTCTTTTTTAGGCAGTATCACTTATTATAATCGTTTCATCAGAAATCTCCCAGATATACTTTACCCTTTATATAATCTTTTGAAAAAAGATGTAAGTTGGTCATGGGATAAAACATGTCAGGATTCATTTGAGTATATTAAACGTGCATTATGTTCTGACGATGTGTTGGTGCATTATAATCCTGACCTACCAGTTACTTTGACTATTGATAGCTCGGACTATGGAGTAGGAGCAATTTTATCTCATGTTTTTCAACATGATGTCGAAAAGCCAATTTGTTATGTGTCAAGAACTCTCTCGAAAAACGAATTGGCATACTCTATTTTGGATAAAGAAGCTACCGCGATTGTTTGGAGTATTAAACGATCTTACCAATATTTGTGGGGTAAAAAATTTACCTTGGTCTCAGATAATAAGGCACTCATGTCAATTTTTGGACCTAAAACGGGTGTTCCAGTGATGGCAGCAAATAGACTGCAGAGATATGCACATTTTCTGAGTGGCTTCAATTTTGATATCAAGCATGTGTCATCCATTCAAAATGTAGCTGTCTGTGCAACTGATCGACTTCCCCATTCATTTAAATTATCTCACTAATTCCGATTCTAGTATACCAGTCGATGTTAACAAGGTCAGAGAACTTACATCCTCAGATTCAGTACTTTCTGAGGTACTCAATTTTGTTAAAAAGGGGTGGCCTGCAAGTCATAAAAGTAATGAATTGAAACCTTATTTCAGTAGGAAAAATGAAATCAATGTTGAAGACGATGTCCTGCTTTGGGGACATCGAGTTATCATACCATTTCAGTTACGAGAGGTGATATTGAAGGAGTTGCATGCTACCCATTTGGGAATTGTTAAAATGAAGTATCTTGCGAGATCTTACTTTTGGTGGCCGTCCTTGAATGATGATATTGAAAGTGTTAGTAAGCAGTGCAACATATGTCAACGCTTGCAATCATCGCCGGCCAAGGCACCGTTACAATGTTGGCAAATACCCGAGGGCATTTGGTCGCGGATACATATAGATTTTTTTGAACCGAAGAAAAACAATTTCTTTTTGATTGTCGTTGATGCCTTTTCCAAATGGCTTGAAGTATTTCCGATGGCATCCGTTACCACTAACATGACTATTACAAAGCTGCGAGAACTTTTTTCTAGATTTGGATTGCCTAAGACTATTGCAAGTGATAATGGTCCCCAGTTAGTGTCAGAAGAATTTAAACAATTTGCAAATGTTAATGGTATTAAACTAATAACTATTCCGCCTTATGAACCTCATTGTAATGGTGCAGCTGAGAATAGCGTAAAAACTGTTAAAAATTTTTTTAAAAAGGTTAGTGATCAAAAGAACTGTAATTTACTATTAGCTCAATTCCTTATGACATATAGGAATACCACTGTTCTACTGGTTATTCTCCTGCTAAAATATTTTTAGGTCGTTCGTTGAGAACTCGATTTGACATGCTTAGACCAAGCTCAGTCCAAGACAATGAAAAAGTTGAACTTGAAAATGTTTACCAAAACATACAACGTTCTCAACGAAGAAACGCAAAATACTTCATAGGAAATAGGAAAGTATGTTTTAATATTGACCAAATTGTGTTGGTTAAAGATTATCGCGATAAACAAGTAACTTGGTGTAAAGGACAAGTTGTTAAAATTTTAGGGAAAAACGTTTACGTTGTTCGACCACTAGATTCAAATTTCCTTTGGAAAAGGCATACTAATCAGATCAGAGAACTAAATGATGATTATTCGTTGGTCTACCCACCCTGCGTGGAGCTACCGCACACTGTAAACGTTTTTTCCAATAGAGATGGCGCCAGCAATACTTCTGCCGGTTGATGATGTGTTTGTGGATGCCGGAATCGCGGATAGTGAACGCGTGGATGTCAGTGACTCGGATTCTAGCTCCATTGGTGAACAGGCTGAACTTACACGACCCATACGTATCAGTAAGGTACCGGATAGGCTCCAATACTAACCATTCATTAATTGTTTCTTTTTTTTATTGTTACCCATCTGATCTCTGTTAACAATTTTCGGGGGAGATGAATGTAGTATATTAAGTACGCCCCTGGTTCCCCGAAAATTGCGCATGTACGATGAGTACTCTCACCGGGATACGTTTAACACACAGTATGTCGGGGTTTCGGATTTGTAACAGTTATCGGTGATATATAATAAACCATTAGTATACTTCCGGGTATTATTGATACCAGCTAAGACGTTACAATAGACTATTGATAAATAGAGACACTAAGTAGACAACTGGTTAGCGAGAAGTTGTTATCTTATGCTTGCAACATTGTATGCTAACTGAATAACTGCGTAATTACCAAAGGCATATAACATGCATTTTCACGAGCTTAATTTGTATTTTGGCGCATACTATATGTACGACCCTATATTGTACAGAAGTTCCGCTCGGGTATTACGCATCTTGAAAAGTGACGTTATATCGATTTTTTTTGACATTATGCTGTTTCTTTGACATTATGTAGGTTTTTCGACAAGATGTTCACTTAGTACTAGCCGATGACACTTTTGTGAACTCGTTTTGTAGTTGTACGTGTTGCCTAAACGTCATGATGTTTCAGTTATCGGTGTTTGGCTATGATGCGATGTATGATCTGCTTCAGAGATGGCATTATATTGGAACAAATACACCTGCTGTTGGTCCTTTTGATCTTTCTGTCTCCAACTGCTTAGTATATTTCCCGCTTATTTTCATTAGCGTCCGGAGGGATTGTTACGCTTTGTTAGCATCCGATTGTCATACGTCAAACAACAGAATCAAGAAATTTATTTATGTTAATCATTTACCCACAAGCTTTTTATATTGAATATAACCACCAACAGTAGAAGTAGTAATTAAGTGATTGATACTCGTGGGCTCAGTGTTATCTCCAAATTTTGGCAGAATATGTGATGGATGACCTGCTTGATGTTGTTATTCAGGTACTGCCGTATAATCTTTATAAAAAAATATGTGTACGATATTATTGTCTGTCTTCCTTGTCAAGAGGTGGATGATATTTTTGAAGTTTTTAACAGCTATGACCCCTCTACATTCAGTTCACCATCGAAAAAGAAGATGATAACCAATCAGTTCCGACAATAATATACTACTGGTAGACTGGTACAGGAAACCAATTTCCTCTGGAAGGTTCCTGAACTTCAGGTCTTACCATGAACTTAAAAATAAAGATAAACTTTGTGAAACAAATGAAGAACAAGGTAGGTAATAAAAATCTCTGACAATAATTTCCATATTTCCAATTTAAGAAAGCTTCCAGCTTTATTCATCAATAATAGTTATCCGAAGTAATTCTTTAACTAATGATAATGAGAACACTACGGATTATGCTTCTAACGCCAGAGTTAATTATGTTGTCTTGCCATTCATAAAAGAATTAACTCCAAAATTGATCATGCTGTATAATTCCTTAAATTTTCGTTTTGCTTGTGAATCAGTTCTCACAGTCAACAGTGTGTTTTCCAAAATGAAGGATAGGGTTCAGCTGCTTGATTTAACAAACACTGCCTATCGCATTAATTGTAACAGCTGCAATTTAGTTTACATAGGCCAAACATCGAGATCACTGAAAGGCAGGATAACCTTACACAAAAGTAACGCCAGATTGCACACAGATAGATGTGCTTTGGCATCACATGTTAACACCACATATCATTCTATGAGTTATGGCAGTATTATAGGGTTCTTGATAAGGAGCAACTACTCTCAAAACGTCTATTTTTAGAAATGTCCAACATATTCATGACAGATTACTGTATGAATAAAAAGGCTGATGTTAAGCAGCTTAGTGTCATTTATTCTTACTTGTTGAATTTCGAAAAGTTGAACCGACTACATATTCCAGTTAATCTAACATCCTCCAAAACTAAAGAAAATTTAAAAAAAATGCTTTTGCCCTGTTAATGAAACAGTTTTTTCAACGTCTCACAAGAATAATAAATACTAATATATCTTCATGCAAACCATCTTCTCAAGCGTGTTGCCATTCTACACTCACATTAATTACACTTTTCCAAAACAGAACTAATCCAGCAATTTAGGAAATATGAAAAGTTTTTGTCCGATCGTCCCTCGTGTACACTATTTTTACATTTCCACATTCCTTCGCTACAGTCATCTGTCGACGCACCACTCATCCGATTCGCTCATTGTCTCCACGTGAAACAGATGTAGGAGGTTAAAAGGGACTCTGTCATTTCTTGCCCCAAAATGCACTACTACCTTTAATATTTCGAAAATGTTCCTTAATTTTTTATTTGTTCGGGTGTATTCATATATAGTGGTAACACCTATGATTTCCGTCTGTGCCAAAAAACCCAATTTTGGTTTTACATATGCAACAAGTGCTCTCATCCACGCTTTCGCTTTGAAACCCCATTTGGCTGCAACCTCAGCGACGAGTAAGTTGTCGGAAAAATTTAAATCTTTTCCGAATTGGTTGCTAGCTTCATATTTGTGTTACAGCTCCCGATGATGGCTCCATAGCGTGCCGAAAGCTCGAGATTACCGTTAAAAGAGTTTAGTAATGCCTAAAATTTTGCCAATTTCCTAATTAATAATTAATTGTATTTCTTATATTTTTTTTTCAAAGTTTATTCAAAGTTTATTCAAATTCAAAAACCAATATAACTTACAAATTAAAAAACAACCTTCAGTACAATTTAAATAAAAAAGCTTCATACATATATATATATATATATATATACTTTGACTTTGAAGTTGAGCCATTAATTTTCAGATAATGATTGTAGAAGGAAGATAAACCAAAGTATGTGTGTAAAAGTAAAAAAAATTAAAAAAAAATGTTACCTTGTTTTATAAAGTATCTTCCCGACAAGTGTTTCAGTGCGGACCTGTATTTGATCGTGCGGTCTTGGAGCACCGGCATGTCCTCCCCTGTGAGGTCTTAAATCACCTGATTCACGAGCCCTGTGTACTATAATAACAAAGGCACGAGGGGTTGGTTGCACTCGATTGGGAAACCGATCCGCATAAATCCGTGATACTGCGGCAGCATTTTGTAAAGACTCCCCCCCCGTAAATAAGAATCATGTCCACAAGTTCAGCATTTTCGTAAACATGTGCCATTTTTATTTCGTTTGAGCCACGCAACAAACACCACTATTCACTCACGCGTGACCGACTGACGCATTGAGTGAATACAACTGAATAAAATGGTAGTGAAAACATCGTGATAAGCGTTTCAAATTCTTTCGCTTTTTTGTTTCCGATGCGATGAACCGATAAGGCGGATTATGTCCGTTGTTGCCAAACACGAGCACATAATATTATTATTGAGACAGGGCGGTACTCAAACCTTTAAAGGGCTATAACTTTGTTACTTTAGTTTTACCAGAAAAATGTTAAATGTTAAAGATCTACTCACTGTTAAAATAAATGACTCAACTTCGAAGTCACCCTGTATATATCCACATAGTCCACACTATTTATACACATGGAAATCTACCATATAAATAACTGTTTTATGTTTATGAGCAAATTGCGGACACGAGATATAAATGATTAAAAATTTTATATCAATTATCAAAAATACAAATTTTCATAAAACATAAACACCACCAGTCTTGTTTTGTTTATTCTTGCGCGTACAATCAGAATCAGCTTTAGATATTTGGCAAAAATTGTTACTCCTTGAATCTTATGTTTCTTTTCAAAGGTTATTTTTTATAACATTCTAACAAAATACCAAAGGTAACAAAAACATCCGATAAGCTGGCAACACCGCAATCCAGGTGACAAGAATAACAAGGTCAGCTGACTGGGGTACCGATGGAGTCGTTCCGAACGTCAAGGCGTCAATTTAGTGATGTGCAGCGTTTTTGGAAAAAATTTCGCTTCGCATAGACTTGCAGAGCCTATTAGAGTATATTTCAACAGTTGTCTTGCGTGGCCATGTTATCTTTACACGAGCTAACCTCTCTCCAGAAAGGACAACATATAAATAACCCGTCGGGCCCAGCTAGTAGAAATACCTCATTGGCAGCATATTCAGTAATAATTTTCCAATACGTATAATCATCGAGATGCAGTCTTGCTACTCAACTAACTCTCTTTCTTTCACATATCCCCAGAGATAAACAGAACAGACTACTCGACCTTCTGCGATCAACAATGCATGTAGATGCGTTATGTCATTCCGCCATAGATGCCTTTCACAGCTATCACAGTCAGCAAACGTGGAATGAACTGTTTGCACACCCAAAAACTACCTAGTCTGCAAGATAACATTTGGTAATTTTTTTACGTTTTTTACATAGCACCCCTACCGAGTACTGCTCACATGCTTGGGGTGTTGATGCCCCGACTACGTTATTATACAGGGTGACTTTGAAGTTGAGTCATTAATTTTCAGATTATGATTGTAGAAGGAAGATAAACCAAAATATGTGTGTAAAAATAAAAAAAAATTAAAAAATTTCTTTTACCTTGTTTTATAAAGTATCCTCCCGACAAGTATTTCAGTGCGGACCTGTATTTGATCGTGAGGTCTTGGAGCACCGGCATGCAGTCCCCT